TCCACAGGGTTAATTTAACATCTATAGTGTTAATTTAACATCCACAGTGTTAATTTAACATCCACAGTGTTAATTTAACATCCACAGTGTTAATTTAACACCCACAGTGTTAATTTAACACCGTGTTAATTTAACATCTACAGTGTTAATTTAACATCTACAGTGTTAATTTAAAATCTACAGTGTTAATTTAACACCCACAGTGTTAATTTAGCACCTACAGTGTTAATTTAACATCTACAGTGTTAATTTAACATCCACAGTGTTAATTTAACATCTACAGTGTTAATTTAACACCCACAGTGTTAATTTCAACACCAACAAATTGTCTGTATGTGTCCACACTCGCTGGTGTTAAAATAACATTTGTGAAAGTGTTATATTCAACAATATTGGGTGTCACATTAGCATTTCAACAGTGTTAAAATGTATTGTTAAAAGTAACACCAGTGTATTATTATTAACAAAGGAAATTATGGTGTTAGGAAGATTAACAGACACCATAAATTTGAGAGTGTAAATTTAACACACAGAGCTAAAATCAAACTCTTTGTAGTGTTGCATTAACACTGCTCAGTAGTTAGTAGAAAACTGTGTTATTGGCCATAAATCGACACCATGAGTGAGAGGTATGCCCTGGTGTGTGAAGGGTAACTCTCTTACACTTTTCTATAACTTTCTCTAACTTAAATTTGGACAACTTGATCAAACTGAACAAGAAAATTAACCAGAACAACTAATTTTTACTCTCATGAACTTCTTTAATAGTCATAAAAATGCAAAAACATCATTTCTACAAGATTACCCAGCATCCCTTGCTGAGAAAATACTGGTGTGTCTGACATGAGGTGGAAGAGGGCGGGGCTTTTCAAAGAACTTATTTCAACACTGCATGGTGTTAAATAACACTGTTAAGTGTTATATAAGACTTAACAGTGGGCGGGGCTTACTTAACTGTCCAGTGTTGAGACAACACTGAGGAAATCAACACTGTGAATTAACACCAACACTGGGTGTCAGTTTACTCAGAAAGTGATAAAATAACACTAGGGGGTGTTAAATCAACACCCAAAATTTAACACTGAAATTTTAACACCTGTTTTTGCTGAGCCCAACCATACCACGTGGGGCGGGGGGCTTCTAACCTGTGTGCTTCATTCCAGGTTCTGTTTATATGTACGGCCAATATTACTGACACCATTCCAGAACCTCTCAGAGACCGGATGGAGATGATCAATGTGTCCGGATACGTGGCTCAGGAAAAACTGGCCATTGCCGAGGTAAACTCAACCTCTTCTGTAAATAAATACAGTTAATAAAACTGAGAAAAAACAGATGAAGGAACATTTTTCTAATACTGTTATCATGCTTTATACTTTTTTGTGTGTGTGTGTGTGTGTGTGTGCAGCGTTACCTGGTGCCTCAGCTTCGCTCACTGTGTGGACTCGCTGACGAGAAGGCCTCGATCTCATCAGAGGCTCTCAGTCTGCTCATCAAACAGTACTGCAGAGAGTCTGGAGTGAGGAATCTCCAGAAACAAATAGAAAAGGTAAAAAAAAAAGTGTGTCAAAAATATTATCACCCTTTTATTTGAGCAGCAGACTTAAAATCTGAAAACTTCTCTGACAGGACAGTAGCCTGATAACTGAAAACTCATCTTGTCTACTTTTAGAAACTCTAGGAACCACAAGTAAACCAAAAATCAGAGATCAACGTTCTCTGTTAGGAAAATATGGAGCAAATATAAGCTGGATAAGATCTGTGTGTTTGTTCATCAGGTGTTTCGTAAAGTGGCGTTCAACCTTGTGAGTGGAGAGCAGAGCTCAGTGGCCGTCACGCCCGACAACCTGCAGGAGTTCGTGGGTAAACCCATCTTCACCGTGGACCGCATGTATGACATCACCCCTCCAGGAGTGGTGATGGGCCTAGCCTGGACGGCTCTGGGTGAGACGGGTGTTCACTAAACCTCACAGTTTAGAGCGTCGGTAGGAAATGTCACATCTGAAGGTCTGTGTTTGCTGCAGGAGGATCCACGTTGTTCATCGAAACGTCGATCCGCCGCCCCGCTGGAGGAGCGGACGCTAAAGCAGAAGGGTCGCTGGAGGTCACCGGTCAGTCTGAGCTGTCTGAACGCTGCCTCGTTCTTCTCATTCAGTGATGGTTTTTGGAGGCTAACCCACGGTGATAACACTGTTGCTCTCTCCTGTAGGACAACTTGGGGACGTTATGAAGGAAAGTGCAAAAATTGCTTCAACTTTTGCCAGAGCCTTCCTTCAAACGCAGGATCCAGGAAATAACTTCCTGATCAACTCCCACCTCCACCTTCATGTTCCCGAGGTAACCCAGGGTGAAAACATCCAGCTGAAACCAGATCGTACCATAAATGTGTTGCTAAAGTCCCATTTGTTTCTTCCCCCCGTTCTTTCCCTCTCAGGGAGCGACGCCCAAAGACGGGCCGAGCGCCGGCTGCACCATCGTCACAGCTCTGCTGTCCCTGGCCACCAAGCGCTCGGTGCGTCACAACGTGGCCATGACCGGGGAGCTGTCGCTGACGGGCAAAATCCTGCCTGTGGGAGGAATCAAAGAGAAAACTATTGCTGTAAGTACACCACGGAGCAGATGTTAATGTGTCTGTCACCGTTTCACCAGAACTGTAGCTCATTTCACTATGTATGACATGTTGGCTTCTTGTTTTATTTATAAACTGAACTTTCATACAGAAAGGCAGGAAACTCTTAAAGGCATCCATGATTATTGTAACATTAGACATTAGTTGATAAACATATATTTTAACTGTAAAACAAACTGTAAAAATACTGTAGGCTGTTTAGATTTCATAAAATTTAAAAAATATATTGTCTCATGGACAGCGCCATTTTGTTCTGGTGTGAGGCTGCTTGAGAGCTGAAGGTTAATCTGGACAATATCTGATGATCGACTCTTTTAAATGAAACCAGAGAGCGTTGACAGAGAGGAGAAGGTAGAAATGACTCAGCCTGTAACTGAAAATATAGATGGAGGACAACAGAGCTGCTTCATGGAAGAAGAACCTCAGAGAACATGAAAGCTAACAGGATAAACTGAAGTTCTGTAGATTCCCTGCCTCTCAGGTTGGTTTTGCAGCCGTCATGCTTTTCATCTGCTGAGCTGACAGCAGGACAAGTTTTTATTGTTCACAATTTTAGTTTTATCACAATAAACTAAACACAACTGAGCAAATAAAAACAAAATGAATCGGGTCAGAACAGGGTCCACGAAGGACCCAGAGAGTCACCTGATCTGTTTTTATTAGGGGTTGGTGTATTTATTCTGTTTATACCAAGATGAGTATCTGTATCAGACCGATACTGGTGGGATGACATTGATTGTTTTGTTTACACTTTTTTTTGCACTATTGACTTTATTTTTTTACATACAGTACGTGAAAAAAAAAGTCAGTAGAGCAGAGTCTCCAAAGTATTTGGACTTGTTCATTAGTGTCCTGATGCATCTCAGTAATCCAGGTAAAAAATCAAAAAAATTGTGTAGGTCTTCTGGACTAAGTGTTAATTAGGTGTCAACGATAGCCTTGTGATGTGAGTATCAGTCACATGGAGGC